ATGAAATCCAGCTGGTACAGAACTCTCTCCTCTGCATCAAAATCCACCCTGTAGTGATCCATCTTCTCATAGTCAGGATCCAGGGTCTCCTGAGTGAAGCAGTTAGATGCTTTACCAACCCTTCAGAGAAAAGAAAAGATACTGTTTTTGTTTGATTTAAGCGAACATTATTTCAACAGTCTTGCTAAATTTGCTAATAGACTTACTTTTCAATGAGATCTTGTGAGGTCTATAAAGCAGAGATAAAAATATATATCAAACTGCATGCCTTTGGCATTCAAAATGTAAGATTACTGAGGAGCCCCACACAAAAGTTATAGTACCTGCACAAAAGAAGCCATCTCTGGGTCCTCTATGGCATTCTGGGCTGCCTGGATGAACTTTGAGTTTGTGTCTACATGCTCACTGTAGATCTGCAGTAAAGACTGGGTCCAGCCAGTCTTTTCTTCCTGCTCAGAGGTGATTTGTTGGGTCATGATCTTACGACGTTCCTCCAGAATGGCAGATAATTGATCGAACCTCTCGCACAGAATTTGTTTCTGGATCCTGCTGTTTTCCTGTCAACGTGGAATTGTGTGCATGAACAGATCCTTTGTTTGTAGTTTTTTGATGTTTCATTGCATGACTTTGTAAAAGATCCACACAAACCTCTATGTTCCTGCGGAGTGCCTCTAGTTCGTTAACAAATGACTGAACGCGTTCATTTGTGGAAACCAAAGTAGCAAGTCTGTCACTGAGTTCAGCCTATAAGAATTGAAATTAATTATTTGGCTCATTACAAGATGTGAAGATGTAACATGACAACGCAAATATTTTTTTTTAGGAGAAAACACCTTCTGCTGCTGGTAAACATCAGGCAGGGGAACTACTTGGCAGTTTTTATGGGCCCCAAACACCTTACAGAGAGAGCAGGAGGTCACCTGACACGTCAGGCAATAAATATTAAGCTTCTCATCTTCATGCTCCGTACAACTGAACAATGCAGGAGGCTTCTGTGGAGGCCTAGAGCTGGAGACACATTGATTTACAATAAATTAAAGATCAGTTAAACACTTACCGTACTGACATAACTTAGGTTTACCATACATCTCGGATCTTTCTCTATCATCTGACCTTTCAGACTCCTGTTTGTAAACATCAATAATGTTCTCCACGAGTAAATTGCGCTGCAGTCCATAAACTCCATGACGGTCCAAGACAACCTCATGCTGACAGGAAGGGCAGCGAAAACGTCCTCCGATTCCAACCTGGAAGAGAGACGGCTGCACATCTTACTCAGCATGCTGTTCTTCAAATGTCAGCAGTATCTGTGATTACATGCATCGACTGACAATTGAAACCACTTTTCATAATTCACTACAGATGTCTTTCTAAGCAAGAAAAAAATGAAAAGAAATGCCTAGCATGGTTAACCAGACTGAATAACATCACCTCTTGGTTAGACTAATTGAACTTTCATGTACCTCCTTAGAGATGCGCTGTTTGTACTTCGAGGGTAAGATGATCTTACTGAGCAGTCTAAATCTGTGCATGCATGTGTCTTTGTCTCGTCTTAATCAGTAGATACAGGGACATAAAATAGAGTTTTCAAACAGAGGAGCTTGAGACTGATCTCATCAGGTATCCTAAATAGTCAGACTCTTTAATAGCTCTCAGCTGCTGAGGCTTACAGGTCCAGTGTGAATCAGAGCACCATCACTGGCTCAATTATAATGATGTCCTAAAGCATGATGGGAATTATTTATTCACTGTATTATTTGCTATCTATTTACAAGAGATGCACAACTTGATATTCCTCAGGAATCATGATGATAATATATTTATGCCACTACTTCGTTCTTGGTTTCAGTTTCAAAATGACACTACACTCACTCTGAGAGGTCAGAGGTCAAGTGTGTATGCAGTTAGCAGGGTTGCACACCAGTTTAAAGGGGTCATATGATGCTGCTAAAAATAAAACAAAATTATTTGGTGTATTTGGTGTAATGAAATGTGTTTATGCAGTTTTATAAAGAATATCTCTTTGGATTTGAGACTTTAGTCTTTGCAACTTTACAGATATTCTTTATGCACCGAGAGCTTGTAACACTCCAAAGAGAAAGGAAACATTGAAATCGCATCATATGACCCCTTTAAGAATTTTAGAATTGCAATCAAAGTTTGAATTTAAGGAAGTGGAATTAAAATTGAAATTCTAAGAAATTCATGTGACCCCATGAAGTCAACATATTCTGTTACACCAAATACACAAAATAATGATCTTTAAAAAAGCATCATATGACCCCTTTAAATTACTTTATCGGTTGAATTTCAATCCAATTCAAATGTTAATTCAGCTTCCTGTAGTGCATATTTAAACAGCCCTGGTTCTTAAAGGTGCAGAGATCAACTAACATTTTTATTAGCATCTCTTTGGACCACCTTTCTAACTTACACATCAGCATAATGTGATTAATGCTATGTATAACTATCTGATAATTATGATGTGATAGCATATGAAAACGGTAAGACAAGCATGCAGATAAAAAGGTTCAGCCAGAAATGTCATAATTTTTCTCCCATGTAAATTGGCCTCATGACAGATACACTGCTTGGCTTTTAACCTTTGCTTATGAGGAGGTGTAAGGGAAAACCGGTGAGGTATCAAAGTTAATTTAGGTGCAGAGGAGGAGGAGGGTTATGCAGACAAAACATATATCTGTTACAAGGGACTTTCATATCAATATGCATTGTGTGCTGCATGAACACGAAACCACTGATGGCTCAAATGCATCAAATGTAGGCCATCATCTATTTTTATACCTCAGATTTCAGACTGAGATTGAGTTTAGACATTTGCAATCCCCACCTGTTGGCTTTCCACATGACAGGTCTAGAAAACTGTCTTGTGTTTGTGGTTACTGTGGTACTGCCATGACTTTAGAAACTCCTAAAAATATGTCTATAATAATAACTACAACTGTAAAGTTTTAATTATCATTCCAATTGTACGAGAATATGGAAATTTATACCACAAAAATAACGATAAAGACAGAGTTATGATATCATTGGAATTAGAACGATTTTTTCCCAGGTGTTGATCGATTAAAAAAAAACACTCAGTTTAACTCAGCCAATGAGAATCCATCCTGCTTGAGCGTTTAAAGTGGCAGAGGACAAAACTGCAGCATGCGCTTATAATAAACAGAATGTTATTATCCATTGGTGTGGATGCTAATATAGTTAACGTTACTGAGATAAATGGGCATGTATGTACCCAAATGTACAAGCACCTTGACATGTTGTTGACCATCCAACTTCGCAAAAATGACCTATCGCTTAAAATTCAAATAGCACCTTAGCACATAGAAAACACTTTGGGTTATGAAGGAAACTGGCAGCTCATGACATGCACAGATGAACTGTACGTGTATCAAGTGCACAGATGCTATTTTGAGAATTCATCATCTTACCAAAGGCTTGAAAAAGTACTTCTACATCCACACATAAACCATCATCCTCTGAGTGAGTTGGTACACACCTGGTACAGTTCATTGGCACACTTGCGGCAGAGGTTGTGCTGACAGGGCAGAATGACCACTGGTTTCGTGAAGACCTCCACACAGATGGGACAGATGAGTTGTTTCTCCAGCGTCCCCAGTGAGGGGTCTTTGTGGTAAGAGTGAATATCCAGTGGAAGAGACATGGCCGTGTGCCCCTGCTGACCCCACACTCGCTGGAAATTAAGATCGGAGAGTGAAACCACAGCTAAGGAGATGAGACGCCACCGTCTTCATGTCTCTGTGCTGTGTGGTTGTCCAGTCTCTCGAGGCAGCAGTCGCTCTGCCCGTGCTTGAACAGTGAAATGGGGCCTGTGTTGGTTTGCAGCTGAAGATATGTATGTGTGCATGTGCAAGAGGGGGAAGGTGTCCGGTTTCTTGCTGGCTCACTGGGACACCCCCTACCCTTGATCAGTTGTGCCCATATCAGGCAGCCAGTGGAATGCTGGGAAACAGAGATGATGCCTCATCTCCAGTTACTCCAATCATTCATGTCTTCAGCCTTGAAACAGTCAACAAGTCAATAATGCCAGAACAGCTACAGTATTAGAGGAGAGTAAGATAGTGTTTATGAAGTGTACTTAAACTTTTAAGACAAAAACTTCCACAAGTGTGTACGATTACATTCGAGTTGGAAAAAGACAGAGGAAAAACTGAAGAGTCATTTTAAAATTGCAATATTTCACAATATGACCGTTTTTACAGTATTTTTTATCAAATAATTGCAGAAAAAATGTAGTGTACTTAAAATAAAAAGTCATTATTTACTCACCCTCATGTTGTTCCAAACTTGTATGACTTTCTTTATTCTGTAAAATTCTAAAGTTGGTGTTCTGAAGAACTGTTTTTACCCATACTATGAAAGATCCGAAACAACACTTTGTAACTCTCTCTCTCTCTCTCGCTCTACATACACACACACACACTTACGCTCATTCGTATCTTAACATTTTTTTTTTTTACTTTTCTTTAATACATACGTTTCTTACTTTCACTTAAATGTTTTTGGTTTAATATTCTAACTTTATGTTAGTGCTGTCAAACTATTAATCGCGATTAATCGCATCCAAAACAAAAGTTTTTGTGTACATAATAAATGTATGTGTGCTGTGTATATTTATTATGTATATATAAATACACACACATGCATGTATATACTTAAAAAATTTTTTATATATTATATTTATTTATAATATAAATTATATGAAGATAAATATAGACGTATATATTTTCAAAATATATGCATGCATGTGTATATATAAATATAAATAATAAATATACACAGAACACGCACATATATTATGCAAACAAAAACTTTTATTTTGAATGCGATTAATCGTTTGACAGCTCTACTTTATTTTAATTAAGAGGGTTTTTTATATCCCTGTAAATGTGTGAAAAGCAACATTACAAAGATCATTATTTCCTTTGCACAAATACACAAATAATCAACACAGATACTTTTTCTTTTTAAGTTTCCTTCACATTTATTTTACAGCTGTAATTCAGACCAATTATCCATGTTACATCTCTCTGACACATTATATTATGCTACAACAATTTCAGATGATTTATGCAGAACACGCAAAAGAATTCAGCCATTCTGTACAATAGTCATATTCGTTTACACATATTGAACTATGTAATTCATTAAAAACATAAAAAAATAATAAATAAAATATTGTTTCTCATCACCGTGTTTATACTATTTCCTTCATTTTTAACATGATTCTGTTTAGGTGTTGCATTCACACGCAACGCTCCATTCCTTCTCTTATTCTTAGATTGGAAGCAATAGGAAATCGGATCAGTGTTTTTTTTTGTTTGTTTATGATCATGAATGAATGAATGAATGAATACAACAAATAAATGGAAAGGAAAACTGGGATAACAAAGAAAAAACAGATCAGTAGCTGTGTTACAGTGGAGCTTGTGTTGAGAAATAATATTTTGCAAATAAAAAGCGTTACACATTGTGAACAGGTTAGTCTTCGAAATGCTTAGAAACATGATCACTATTAATCTGCCTAATCATTTAGACATAAATAAAATACAAAAAACTACATGATAAACCTACAGCCCTATGACATATTCACAATGTGATCCTAAACAAATAAAACATACACATTTGGGGTAAATTACACAAGTTTTCCGTATATCCTGTTTCAAGTGCATGTAAATGAATGTATGCACAAACGGACAGCTATACAGCTAATCCATTTTACAGATATTTAAACAGAACATACAGTAGATGATTAGTGATTAAATTAGGATCTCAGTTTCAAACAACACACACATTCACACACAGAAATGAAGGTTTCCTATATGTCTGTATTTTTTGGTTCACTCCTATCAAAAAATTAAAATAAAACAAATATAATAAAATAAAAATATGCATGTATTCTGACAGATAAAAGAAAAGAGAAGATCTAAAAGGTTGCAAGTGTCAGGGTTCCCAGATTGTTTGGCCAATGACTTTATTCCATTACCATTTTTTTTTTTTTTAGGATTTTAGCTCATGAAGAGCAATTTCCAGCCACTAAAATATTTTAGGGCTGAGCAAATCTAAAAATGTATAGAGAATGGACATTTTCATTACTTTTTATTCATTTCTGTGAATGCTCCAGGCTGGAAAGCCACAGTTTTACACTTCTGTGATATTCCCAGATTTCCATGACTGGGAACCCTGAATGCATATGAGATGATCAAATTGAGCACGAACCATTTTAGTCTGAAGGACACAGATCACAGAGTTATTCATATTTTCTGACATAATAGTAATAATACTGTTAATGTGTAATATGCTGAACTAATTAAACCATGGCACTAGGGAACAACATCAAATTATGGGTACAATTACAGCCAAAACAAAATAGAACAGCAAACTGAGTGATAGAAGTCTAGAACCAGATTTGTTAAAATAAATGTTCAAAAATGTATCACACTAAAAAGGATGCATCAGTTAACAATTTTGGGTCAGTGTGAAACTGGATGAAAATCACTGATGATACTGAATTATATGGGAAACATACTGTATGTTTTGTGCATGTGAATCCCTTTACCCACAATCCAACTGTGCTTATATTGAACCCAGCTGTCTGAGGATGGGCTTATGCTTTCTAAAACCACAATCCTGAGGAATGCAAACACTCTTTACCTTAGCAAAGCCTCGAGAATACAGATGGAAATACAAAACACCTGTTCAAGATTAAATGACCTGGCACAATGCTACGTGTTTGTATGTATCTGACCCTAAACTCCTGTTCCCCATACACAGGGTTTAAATTGGGCCGGGGCCGTCAGGGGCTGAGCCCCGGCACATAGACTGTATATTATGCATATATTGCTGAGGCGAGGCTCACGCAGCCTCTCCAGGAGAAATCAAAACGCGCAACACTATGAAACTCAGCATCCTGAGGTAAAAATTCCAAATGGAAAGTTTTTATATTTAAAATGCAGTTAGTTAGGCAACATCACACAACGTTTTCACCACTACGACTGTTTAATAGTTCTATAAACTGTTCAATAAGCAAATACAATAATATTAGGTCACTTACATTTTAGGCGGAAACACAGCGCATCTCACAGCAACCAGCCGATTCATTGCTGATTGATTCCGTGTTTTGAACGAATCAGTTGAATCAAAGTTTCATTAGCCCACGCATAAATATCTGATGAAACTGTCGTTTGAACGAATCGCTTGAATGAACGACTCAGTGACTCACTTATTAAACACTACTGGCACTGGCGTTTTAATTTCGTTGAAAAGTATCATTTCCACCATAATTTATTGTTTGTATATTCAAAAATATTTAAAAGAATCTCATATTATTATTTAATGCTGTTGTATTTTTCAGTGTAAGTGATTTAATTTGATAACGTATAGATAATCACATTATTATAATTGAATTTATAGATCAAATGTAAGAATTTGAAATGAAAGTATTAATGAGATTATTGGGAAAATGCCCTCTATAAAGGTAAAAAAATGTCCTTGGATAAAATATTGAATATATAAATATTGAATAAAATGAGAATATTACTTCAGAATAAATCATATTTGTATATAAGCTCGATACCATAGAGTCCCCCCACATAACAAATCCCAAATTAACCCCTGCCCATACACACCACATAATTGAGCACAGCTAAGCACTGCATGATTATATTTGATAGTACATGCCCACCGGATGCCATTAACACGAGAGACGGCTCATATAAACTTACACAACATGACACAGCAATGATTCCTCAGTCGTGTCCTCAGTGACTATACTACACTATACTGCCTTACTGTTTAGAAAAATATAAAGGTATCAAACTACTGAAAGCCATTTCCAGTTAATGTTATGAAACACTTGAACCTGAAGGATGATAACTTATATAGTGTGATTTCTGGATAATGAAAATGGCACAGGTTTGTTTGTAAAAAAAAAATCACAAAAAAAAATGTGGAAACATGAAAACAACCCAGGACAATGTTTATGATGTGATTGTGAGGTTTGAGCTAGTGAGAGCCAATCAAATGCATGGAAGGGTCATTAACTTTGAATTTGAAAAAGTAGTGGTCTGTGCGGGGTTTTTTTTTGTTTTTTTTTTGAGTCTTACGCTCACCAAGGCTGGATTTAAACCAGAAATTCAATAAAAACATTAATTTTGTGAATTATTGTTACAATTAAACAGTTTTCTATTTTAATGCATTTTAAAAAGTAATTTATTCCTGTGATGCAAAGCTGAATTTTCAGCATCATTACTCCAGTCTTCAGTGTCACATGATCCTTCAGAAATCATCCTAATATGCTGATTTGCTATACTGATTTATTATTATCAGTGTTGAAAACCGGTGTGCTGCTTAATATTTCTGTTTTTTTTGTTTTAATGAACAAAGCTCAATAGAATGGCATTTGAAATAAAGATCTTTTGTAACCTAAATGTCTTTACTGTCACTTTCAGTCAAATTAATGCATCCTTTCTAAAAAATGGTATGAATGGTTTTGAATGGTAGGGTATGTGTGACAACCTCTACAATTATCAAATTTTTCGAGTCAGTGTAACGCCAGCTTCATTATCCATTATGATAGCTGAATGCACTAAGCATACAAAAATACTTCCTTGTGTCCTGTTGTTGTGGAAACGTAATTCATGCTTCAATTAAGATTGATCAAAATTATTTTAACTTATTATGTAGACAAATGCAGTGTGATAACCAGTGCATAACAAGAGCTGTTGGCAAGATTAAGCTTTATTTGCCTTTTTTTAAAGGCAAATAAAAATAAACTCGCTTCTTGCCATGTACAGTGGAGCGTTTCAGGTTTTCCAACGATACTGTAACTAACTAACCGCTCATCCTCTTTCCTCTGGATCACCCATTGCCCACCGTGACTTTTTCTGGCATGGTGGTCCTGTGCGTCTGTGAGAGAGAGGTTTAATAGCTGGCGTCTGTCCGGTAGCTGGTGTGGTGAGAGTCTGCGGTCAGCTGAGTGTTCTCTGTGGCAGAGGACGGCTGCATCACGATGGGGCTGCTGCCATCTGTGGAAACACACACCAGTGTCACGCTGCTTTATAATATGAGCAGCTAGCAACTCATAGCAACTCCTGTTGCTAAGCATTACAGGCATGATTGTGAGTGCCAGGGAGGCCACTTCAAATACTGAACAGACCTTTTATTGGCTAAATAAACAATCTGAAGGCATTTGAACTGTAATTCTAAGAAAAACTGGACTTTATTCACTGGGATTTGATTGAAACCAATGATATTATTGACCCACCTGCACGGCCTTAGTTATGACAGCAGAAAAGAAAAGTTTTCAGAAGCAGATAAAATGATGACATTGTGATGAAAGATTATGAAACAATCATTATCACTTTACAATAACATGCACTGAACTGCGCTATGGACATTTATTAAAGACCCAATGAAACAGTTTGCTTAACACAGTTTTATTTCCAGATGCATTTCTTATTTAAAAATCCAAGAGTATGGAAGTAGGATATATTGAAGGTCTTAAAACAAAACAAACAAACAAACAAAAAGGAGCGGCTGATGTTAAAATGAATAATAATTCATATGTCTTAAAAAAAAAAAACACTAGAAACCAAACTCGTTTTTAAATGCTGTGGTTTTAGGCATCATGATATTTTAATATTCATTTACTCGGATTACATTTAACAGTGTTATTGTACATTTTAAAGCAACTGCATAGTTCTTATATGTCTAAATATTGTTTTTTTAATAATTAACATTTAAAAGAAATGTGCACTCATTTTTTATTATTTTATTATAATTTTATGTTTATTAAAATTTTATTAAAGTAAAATAAATAATGTGGATTTAGGTTACATATTTTGCATTTTCTGCAGAACTGCATTCTTTGTTATATTTGGTTATGACTAAACAATGAAATAATACACAGTAAAAAAATAAAATTAAATAAAATAAAAAACATTAAAGGGACAGTTCACTCAAAAATGAAATTCTGTCATCATTTACTCAACGTCAAGTTGTTCTAAACCTCTTTGATTTTCAAAAGAAAATAATTTGAAGAATTTGGGTAACCAAATATTATGGAAAAAAATACTATAGAAGTCACTGGGAACCAAGAACTATTTGGACACCAACATTCATCAAAATACCTTCTTTTGTACAAAAGAAAGAAAATTATACAGGTTTGGAACAACCTGAGGGTGAGTAAATTATTTTCATTTTTGGGTGAACTATACCTTTAAGTCACCAAAGCATAATTTGGTACTTGCTATTGGTTGTCAGTGGCAGGTGGTATGTGGGGAATGGGACAGTTTCAATATAGAAAATATTTTACTGGACTTCTAGAAGTTCATTACAATACCTTTTGTAAGTACACTAGCTTATGAATGTATTAAAAAGCTAAAATACATGGACTAATAGACACAAAACTTCCATTTTGATTTCATGTCAACATTATCGTGTTTATTTGACTATTGTAAATGACTGTGTGTCAGTGTGTCTCACCTCTCTCATCAGACTGCATCTGAGCTTCCAAGTCTTCAGGAGACACATAGAATTCCGGCTCATCTGACCGAGGAGGATGAGGTTTACACTTCCCACAGCAGCAGTTACAACAGCAGCACAGACAACAGCAGAAATAACAGCCTGTGGCCACACCGCAGAATATAAACAATGCCTGTCCAGAGGGTGGAAAAAAGAGGAATTCAACATAAATAACAGCATGTACACAAACTTACTATATGCACTACCATCCAAAAGTTTGGGGTCAGAAGTATTGTATTGTTATCTTGTATAAGTGTAATCCTGTGATGTTAAAGCTTAATTTTCAGGATCAGGATCATTACTCCAGACTTTAGTGTCACATGATCCTTCAGAAATCATTTTAATATGCTGATTTGCTGCTCAAGAAACATTTCTTGTCATTATCAATGCTGAAAACAGTTTTGCGGTTTAATATTTTTGTTGAAACTGTTGAAATATAAATCTTTTGAGATATTGTCACATCTGAATAATTTAATGCATTTAATTTCTTGCTGAATAAAAGTATTAATTTCTTTAAAAATAAATGACTGACTCCAAACTAAATGGTAATGGTGATCTAACTTGAAGAATATAGTATATATATCTTATAACTTAATGGTCTTGTGTGTGCTTGTGTGTATGACTAACCTTGGCCCACCAGCTGGACAATACAAAGTATGTGTTAACATTCTCCTCTCCAAACTGTTCTGCCACGTAGAGGCCCAGAGATCCGTATTTGTCATAGATGTTGCGTTTGGTGGGGTCTGACAGAATGGCATGAGCATTGTTGATTTCTTTGAATTTCTCAGACGCTTCTGGATTGTCAGGATTCTTGTCAGGGTGGAACTTCAGAGCTAGTTTTCTGCAAATCAGAAGAGAAGAAATAATTGAACTTCCTAAGAATTAATGCAACCATGACCTTTGTCCAGCATCCTTGCCAATCTGCTTTTAGGTGTGTTAACGTTAAATATTATTATGTTAAAAATGGACCCTTTTCACAGACTGTGTTTATGCGTTTCCACGGTTATTAAAGGGTTAGTTAACCCAAAAATGAAAATTCTGTCATTAATTACTCACCCTCATGTCATTCCAAACCCGTAAGACCTTCGTTCATCTTTGGAACAAAAATTAAAATATTTTTGATGAAATCTGAGAGCTTTCTGACCCTGCATAGACAGCAACAGAGCTGACATGTTCAAGGCCCAGAAAGGTAGTAAGGATATCGTTAAAACAGTCCATGTGACATCAGCATTTCAACCGTAATTTTATGTAGCTACAAGAAGACTTTTTGTGCTCAAATAAAACAAAAATAAC